GAGGTTTACAGGTGGTGGTTCCTCATTTAGCTGGTGGACCAAGTTCCTTCTTTGTATGAAATACCCTTTGCTGTGGGAGGAGGAGACCTTTTGGTGTATAGAGATTGAATTCTGAATGTGGACGTGTTTACATTAAATTGGTTGTTTTGACTCTGGTAAGTACATGTGTTCCTACTTCATTCATTTGTGCTCCCAGGATGCCCTTGGAAACTTGACTTTTCATCTCAACAGCAATTTCCTGGTTTAAATATTGTTTTGAAAAATAGATAATAAACTATTTATTGTGAGCTGTGAGGAAGGAAACCCTTTTTCCTAGTTGATCCTGCAATGAGACCATAATTTTTAAATTGTGGTGACCTAACAGCATTCAAGGCCACATCTGATGTCATATATGAGGATTGTAATAATAATCTAGTCAGACGGAAATGTCTCAGCCAGAGTGCAGGGATGTAGATTTCTTCCTCAGTTATGCAGTTCCCTGCACTCTGCTGTGATTGTCTGATTTGCCTAATCATGGTTACGTTTCAGTAACTCTACTGTGAATATGCATCTATTTCTAATCTCATTGGCTGTTGTTATCCCTCCTCTCTGATTGGCTCATGTATTTATCATTTTCAAGCTCTTTGCCAGCAACAAAGAAGTCTCCTCGATGTTTCATTCTCTTCAGAGGAATCAGGAAAGCTCCAAAAATTACGTGAAGGAGAAGAAGAATATACTTAAAAGCAAAGAGAATGTGGCTGTCGAACTGTGGAAAAGGAAATGGTTTAAAAAATATTATTTGACTTCTTTCTCCTCCTCCTTACCATCTCTCTTCCCGTCACATGCTTTACCTGCCATTTCCCTGCAGGCCAGCAGGACTCTCTCCTCCAGAATAACCACCATTTATTTATTTATTTACTTACCACTGGAAGAATCTTAGCCCATTTTGAAACACAATATTTAAAAGCCAAAAAAAGGAAACACTAGTTATTCTTGAGCACAGAATAACTGGTTTATGGGGGGTTCCAACAATTGTCAATACGGGGTGCTCCCATTTGGCCTAGCAACTGCACCCAGTGTCTTCACCAAAGTGTTTCCAGTAGTAGTAGAGCAGTTCAGGCAAACCGTTGTTGCCCTTCTTCCTGGATTTAGATGATTGGCTTCTCTTTGGCAGGACAAACCAGGAAGACCTCATATCAACCTCATTGCTGCTTCAGCATCTGTCATCCGTAAGAGTTTATGCTCAAATAAATTCGTTAGTCTCTGAGGTGCCACAAGTACTCCTTTTCTTTTTGTGAACATGGAGAAATCTATGCTAATCCTGATGCAGATTAAAGAATTTATAGGAGCAACCTTAGGCCATGTCTACACTACAGAGTTAAATTGACTTAAGCTATGTCAGTGATCGTAAACTGCTGTAATTACATTGCTTGTGCATGTTCACACAACGCTCTTTGTGTCAGCAGAGCACGTCCACGGTTGGTGCTCTAGCACCGACAGAGCAGTGGACCATGGGTAGCTATCTCACTGTGCCAATTGCCACCTTCTCCCACTGAGAGTTAGAATCATAGAATATCAGGGTTAGAAGGGACCTCAAGACATCATCTAGTCCAACCCCCTGCTCAAAGCAGGACCAATCCCCAATTTTTGCCCCAGATCCCTAAATGGCCCCCTCAAGGATTGAACTCACAACCCTGGGTTTAGCAGGCCAATGCTCAAACCACAGTTCTGGGAATGGATAGCGGTGCATCCTTGGGGGGTGGGATCACTTCCCTATGATGCAGTTTTCTCTGTTCCATAATTCCAAGGGCTTCTGATTGCGTTTCGCACCATTTTTCAACTGCCCCTGTAAACTTTGTGCCCACCATCTCTGCCTAACAGCCTGGATCCTGCACTGCTCACCATTCTTGTGATAAGTGCTATCAACACAACACAGCTGATCCTGTAGTATTTCGTGAGCTGTGGATCTGAACAAGAATCCGTGGTGTCTGCCCTGCTGTGTGCCATGGAAAGAAACAATTCAAGATTGGTGTTTGCATTCACGGAGTAGCTGCATACAGTAGATCGTTGCTATTGGGCTCAGGAAAAAAGCACCGAGTGGTGGGATCGGTTGTGATGCAGGTATGGGATGATGATGAGCAGTGGCTTCAGAACTTTCATATGCACAAAGCCACCTTCCTTGAATTCCGTGTGGAGCTCGCCCCTGCCCTGTGTCACAAAGACACCAAAATGAGAACTGCCCTAATGATAGAAAAGTGTGTGCTGATCACTGGCAACTCCAAACTGCTACCGGTCAGTCGTGAATCATCTTGGAGTTGGGAAGCCCACCATAAGGGTTGTGTGATGCAAATGTGCAGGGCTGTTAATCGCCTCCTGCTATGAAGGACTGTGACTCTGGGCAATGTGCAGGAAATAGCAGATGGCTTTGCGGCAGTGGCATTCACTAAACTGTGGCAGGGCGATAGATGGCACACACGTTGTAATTTTGGCCCCAAACCATCTTGTGATGGAGTACATGAACATAAAGGGCTTTGTCTTTATGGGATTACATGCACTGGTGCATCACCAGTGTCATTTCACTGACATCAACACAGGGTGGTCAGGGAAGGTGCATGACGCACGCATCTTAGAATCATAGAATATCAGGGTTGGAAGGGACCCCAGAAGGTCATCCAGTCCAACCCCCTGCTTGAAGCAGGACCAATTCCCAGTTAAATCATCCCAGCCAGGACTTTGTCAAGCCTGACCTTAAAAACCTCTAAGGAAGGAGATTCTACCACCTCCCTAGGTAACGCATTCCAGTGTTTCACCACCCTCTTAGTGAAAAAGTTTTTCCTAATATCCAATCTAAACCTCCCCCACTGCAACTTGAGACCATTACTCCTCGTTCTGTCATCTGCTACCATTGAGAACAGTCTAGAGCCATCCTCTTTGGAACCCCCTTTCAGGTAGTTGAAAGCAGCTATCAAATCCCCCCTCATTCTTCTCTTCTGCAGGCTAAACAATCCCAGCTCCCTCAGCCTCTCCTCATAACTCATGTGTTCTAGACCCCTAATCATTTTTGTTGCCCTTCGCTCCAACAAAAATGATTAGGGGTCTAGAACACATTAGGGGTCTAGAACACATGAGGGGCATTTTTGTTGCCCCTCTCTCCAATTTATCCACATCCTTCTTGTAGTGTGGGGCCCAAAACTGGACACAGTACTCCAGATGAGGCCTCACCAATGTCGAATAGAGGGGAACGATCACGTTCCTTGATCTGCTCGCTATGCCCCTACTTATACATCCCAAAATGCCATTGGCCTTCTTGGCAACAAGGGCACACTGCTGACTCATATCCAGCTTCTCGTCCACTGTCACCCCTAGGTCCTTTTCCGCAGAACTGCTGCCTAGCCATTCGGTCCCTAGTCTGTAGCGGTGCATTGGATTCTTCCGTCCTAAGTGCAGGACCCTGCACTTATCCTTATTGAACCTCATCAGATTTCTTTTGGCCCAATCCTCCAATTTGTCTAGGTCCTTCTGTATCCTATCCCTCCCCTCCAGCGTATCTACCACTCCTCCCAGTTTAGTATCATCCGCAAATTTGCTGAGAGTGCAATCCACACCATCCTCCAGATCATTTATGAAGATATTGAACAAAACCGGCCCCAGGACCGATCCTTGGGGCACTCCACTTGACACCGGCTGCCAACTAGACATGGAGCCATTGATCACTAGCCGTTGAGCCCGACAATCTAGCCAACTTTCTACCCACTTTATAGTGCATTCGTCCAGCCCATACTTCCTTAACTTGCTGACAAGAATACTGTGGGAGACCGTGTCAAAAGCTTTGCTAAAGTCAAGAAACAATACATCCACTGCTTTCCCTTCATCCACAGAACCAGTAATCTCATCATAAAAGGCGATTAGATTAGTCAGGCATGACCTTCCCTTGGTGAATCCATGCTGGCTGTTCCTGATCACTTTCCTCTCATGTAAGTGCTTCAGGATTGATTCTTTGAGGACCTGCTCCATGATTTTTCCAGGGACTGAGGTGAGGCTGACTGGCCTGTAGTTCCCAGGATCCTCCTCCTTCCCTTTTTTAAAGATTGGCACTACATTAGCCTTTTTCCAGTCATCCGGGACTTCCCCCGTTCGCCACGAGTTTTCAAAGATAATGGCCAATGGCTCTGCAATCACAGCCGCCAATTCCTTCAGCACTCTCGGATGCAACTCGTCCGGCCCCATGGACTTGTGCACGTCCAGCTTTTCTAAATAGTCCCTAACCACCTCTATCTCCACTGAGGGCTGGCCATCTCTTCCCCATTTTGTGATGCCCAGCGCAGTTATATACAGGAACACTGGCCTGTATATAAAGCTGCATGCAGGGACTTTCTTTCCAGACCAGAAGATTCCAACAGGGGCTGTGGAAATGCCCATAGTGATCCTGGGAGACCCAGCTCCTACTCCTTATTCCCATGGCTCATGAAGCCATACACAAGAAACCTTGACAGCAGCAAGGAGTGCTTCAACAACAGAATCAGCAGGTGCAGAATGACTGTAGAATGTGCTTTTGTCAGTCTAAAGGGTCACTGGCACTGCTTTTTTGGCAGGTTATACCTCAATGAGGAAAATATTCCTGTGGTCATAGCAGCCTTCTGTGTTCTGCATAACATTTATGAAGCCAAGGAGGAAAAGCTTCCCCAGAGGTGGAGGGCAGAGGTGGGTTGCCTGGCAGCTGATTTTGAGCAGCCAGACACCGGGGCTATAACAGGGCCTCAACGGGGGCTATTCAAATTTGGGAGGCTTTGAAGCAGCGTTTTGACAATGAGTCCCAGTAATGTCTTTCTGTAATGAATTGCGCCAGGCATTGTTTACTTGCCACATTGAATGACTCCTGTAATGATTCCTGCCTGAGCGTTAATTTAGTCTGCAAATGTGCCAGTTGCCACTGTGTGTGAATTTCTGTGGCAACCACCCTGTGTAGGTCACAAATAAAGAATTACTGTCTCCTGTAAGACTAAATTTTTATTAAACAGCAATACACAGATTAACATTTCTTACAAGGGACATGACAGTGAGCAGCACTCTCTGAAGTGAGGATCTCACAGCTGTGTAAGTCCAGCAGTCATTATGGAAAATGTCCCTGCGGTGGAGTACAAGGGTTACTGTGACAGGCCAGGAACGTGAGAGGAATGTGTGTCGGAAGTTTTGGGAGAGCAAGGAAGGCAGTTCTGTATGGGCTACAGGGGGAGTCGAGCACACGTGTTCCCCCTGCAGTGCAATCAGGGACCTCAGCATCTCTGTTTGGTTCTACATGAAAGTTATTATCTGCTCCTGGCCCTGTATCATCTGCTGGCTATTCATTTCTAGTATTTCGATTGTGTCTCTCCATGCTCGCTATCGGCCTGATCTGATGATTGCAGCACTTTATGAAATATGTCCTCCTTATTCCTCCTCGTTCACTACTTTATCTGATGGAGGCATTGTGCTGGTGTGGAGCTGGCCCTCAAGGGCACATCTGCAAAAGCAAAAGAAACAATACACAGTCAATATTGTGTGTGCCCTCAATCTTGAATCATAAAAGTTACATACACCTCTTCCTCACTTTCTCATGGCAAGCACGCAGCACAGCCAGCACTAAACATGGTGAGTTCACCGGTGGGAGGAGGGGAGTGCAAGACCGGACAAAGGGTCTGGGTGAGTTCAGAAGGGGATCAGTACAAGCATCTAGGTATGCTATTCTGAATACTGGCACCATTTTCCACAGATAGGGGTGATCATAGCTGATATCTCACTACTGAGGGTAACCGAAGATGCAAGGATGCATCTCCTGCGTGCGTGTGACTTCAGACCAGGTCTGTATGCTACTTGCCTGTGTGCTGCTGTGGTTCCTCCAGAAGTAATTGCCGATTGGTGCGGCAAAGTTTCCTTCAACGGGGGAAAGAAACAAAGCAGCTCTGCCAAGGAAGCTTTGGCAGAGGATTGCAGAGTATCTGCAGCAAAGTTTCCTAGAGATCTCTGGAGGATTCCCAGGAGATGTGTGAGCGTTAACAAACTTCTCTATGGGGCCCCCCACTGTGTAACTGCATAGGGAAATGCAAAGCAGATGCAAACAGCACCTGGTAGTGTTAATTTCATCCCTTCTCCCACGTGCACCACATAACAAAATAAAGGACACCTCTAGCTCATGTAACCGTGCACTATCAAAGCAAAATGAGAACTTACCGGAGCTCTCCTCTCCAGCTTCAGGGACGCCAGAGGTGGAACTGGCTAAACAACTCTGGAGTCAAAAAGAGGTCCTGGCTGCCACGCCACCAGACGAATCTGTTGCCTGTCTCACCTCGTCCTCCAGCTCAACCTCCTCATCCACCGCTTCGTCCTTGGGGTTGACTCGGCTGCCTCCAGTACCCTCGAAGTATCTGCGGGGTTTTTGGTGGTGGACGTGGGGTTGCTGCCGGGGATGGTGTGCAGCCCCTTGTAGAAGTGGCATGTTTTTGGCATTACACCAGACAGATGGTTGGCCCCCCTTGCCTTCTGGTACACCTGCCTCAGCTCCTTGATCTTAGCATGGCACTGCTTTGTCCCTTTTGTGCCCTTTCTTATCCATGCCACGAGCTGTCTGCTTGTCGGTGTCAAAGTTTTTGTGGCTGGATCGGAGCTGCGACTGCACAGCTTCCTCTCCCCACAGTCCCTACAGATCCAACAACTCTGATGTACTGCAGGTGGGAGCGCGTTTGCTGCAGAAAGCCGGCATGGTCAGCTGGGAAGATGCGATGTGAGGTGTCCACCCTGCGCAAACAGGAAGCGGAATTTCAAAAATTCCTGGGGCTTTAAAGTAGGAGGGGCATGTGCCCGTGTACCTGGCTGTAGGGCAGCAGAGTAGAAACTGCTTACAGGAGCAGTCATGATGGGCATTGTGGGACACCTCCTGGAGGCCACTTAAGGTGACATAAGCAAGCTCACTGTCTACACCAGTGGTTTTCAAACTTTTTTTCTGGCGACCCAGTTGAAGAAAATTGTTGATGCCTGCAACCCAACGGAGCTGGGGATGAGAGACGTGGGAGGGGGCTCAAGGCTGGGGCAGAGGGTTAGAGTGTGGGGGTGAGGGCGGGAATCAGGGGTTCAGGGTGTGGGAGGGTGCTCAGGGCTCTGGGGAGGGGTTTGGGGCTCTGGGTTTGGGCAGGGGACTCAGGTCTGGGGCATAGGGTTGGGGCTCCGGCTTTGGGGGGGGCACTTAGGGTTGAGGCAGGAAATTGGGACATGGGGTTGGGGGGACACTCAGGGCTGGGGCAGGGGATTGGGGCTCCAGGGTTGGGAGGACTTACCTTCGGCAGCTCTTGGTCAATGGCGCAGCTGGGGTGCAGAGGCAGGCTTTCTGTCTGTCATGGCACCGTGGACTGTGCTGCACCCTGGAAACAGCCAGCAGCAGTTCCGACTCCTAGGTGGAGGCGTGCAGGCAATGCCCCCCCCAGCTCCCATTGGCCAATTCCCAGCCAGTGGGAGTGCAGAGCCAGTGCTTGGGGTCAGGGCAATGCATGGAGCCCCATGGCCCCCACAAATGGTCCAGGCAATTCTAGTTTCCAGGCTGCCTACGAATGTCATCCTGCCCGCCAATCAATGTCCGGTTCTTTACAACTCTCTTGACCCAGGTGAATGTCAGAGTCCAGCATCCCAATCCCAAAGCACATGATCTCACAGCTTGATATTTTGATGAGTGTCAACCCTAGAACCGTCCTGCTCTGAATTTGTGCAAACTATTCTTACTAGCCAAAAGTATTCTGCCAGGAAATGCTATTTGGCCAAGTGGAAATGTTTTTTTTCATCATCTCTTTCCAGAGATCATGGATATTTCCACTATTCTACAGCGTCTCCTTATGCTTAAGACATCAGGTCTTTTTCTTCAGTTCACTGAAGTTTTACCTGGCAGCAGTCAGTGCATGTCCCCCACCGTTGGATGGTTACTTAACCTTTACCCACTCAGTAACAACCAGATTCTTGAAAGGCCTGATCAGAACCTTTCTGCCAGTAAAGAAACCAACCCCTCACTGGGACCTATATTTAGTTCTCTCGCCACTCACTAAATCACCTTTTGAACTGCTAACTACATATTCTATGCTTTACCTGTTCAATGAAGGTTGCATTCCTCCTTGCCAACACATTGGCCAGGATGGTAGGTATATGATCCACCATAAACAATATTGCATAAGGACAAAGTCTCACTACAGCTATGCCAATAATTCACTCCTAAGTTAATTTCAGACTTTCACATAAACAAGTCAATTCACTTTTTTCTGTGTCTTTTTTTTCCTGAAGCCCCACCTCTCAGGCATGGAGAGGAGACTTCATTCCCTCAACATTCAGTGAGCATTGACATTTTGTCTGCAGAGAACAAAACTGATCAGAAAGTTACCTAGACCGTTTGTTGCTGTAGCAGAATGAATTCTAGGTCAAGCTGTATACTCCCAGAAAGTCTAAGTGGATCTCTGGTAGTATCTTGCTCGACCAGTTGGCACAACTCCCTGCCCCACACAAAGTAAGGGCTCACTTTACAAGGGCACAATGCGTCTCAGTGGCATCACTTCAACAGGTGGTACTCCTTGACATTTTCAGGGCAGCTCTGTGGAGTTCCATCTGCATGTTTACAAGACATTATGCCTTGGCCTAAGACTCCTATGCTGATGCAACCTTTGGGGCAGTTGTTCTACAAGCAGCTGTACCACATGCATCCTCCAATCCTGCTCCTTTTTGAGCACTGCTTTTCAGTCACCCACAGTGGAATACACTGAGGGACAAGCACAAGAGAAGAAGGGAAAGTTACATACCTTGTTGTAACCGAAATTCTCAGAGAGGCATGGTCCCTATGTGTGTTCCACTACGTACTTCCTTCCCATCTGCTTTGGATTATGACTGGATTCGCAGTAGAGAAGGAACTGGAGTAGGCGGTCAGTCTGAACCACCCTTTACAACCTCAGGACGGAGCACAAGGAGAGCAGGGCTGCAGGTTCAGATCAACAGACACTGATTGCTAGAATTCTCCAGCCCCAGGCCTATGGAGCGCATGCGTATCCACAGTGGAATGCACGTAGCAACCACGCATCTCCAACTCCAGTTACAACACAGTAAATCGCTTCCTTTTCCTTGGTGTAACCACTAGACCACTCCTTTTCTGCAACTCCAGGCTCTGAATATGAGTGAGCAAACATTCAAAATACAAATATATTCAGAAATAGGGGAGGGAGGAAAAAACTGTGGTGGCAAATTAAATTGCTGCTTGTATAATTTTTTTTTTCTCTCCCAAGTTCGCTCTTAGAGTGGAAATGTGTCTCATAAATATATAAATGCAAAGATGAGAATTGCTGCCAAAACCTGTCAAGTTTCTGGAACTTTCTGCCCTTGATTATTCACACTATAAACCTCCCTTCTCTTCTCTCCCTGCCCCCTACCCCCCACCCCCAGTACAGTGCTCTGAACATATACACCCACCACTCAGTCAGATCTGTGTGTGTGGTTCATCTTCTGTGCCTTTGATGTGCTCCGTAACGCAGGCAGAGAGAGGTCTGAACGTCTTTCGAAAAACCTGACAGTTTTTGTGTGACAATCTGTCCACAAATCCACAGGCTCCCTGTCAACCAAGTGCGCTTTTGAATATCAGAGGTTTTGGGAACAGCACTTACAGCGTCGCCCATGTGCTCAGGCGAAAGTACAACAGGCTTCATATGTAACCTTAGATGCTCTGTATTTTCCTTAATCGTTTTGGGGACATCTCATCATTGCTTGTTGGCTGGTTCTCAGCCCTGCACATGTCAGGGTTATTTAGCAAAGCTTGATTTGCTGGGAACTGCATGCAGAGTAATTTGCAGTTGGAGGGGAAAAACCTGAAGGGGAAAAAAAGGGAAAATTGTAGGCCAGACTGTTCTGTTCTTCTTCCCCCCCCCCCCCCCCCCAAAAAAACAAACGGAACCAAAACAAAAACAACAACAGGTAATTTGGTAATTTTATTTTTTTCCGTGGGGTTTTCTGTGCCCATGTTGGTGCACTGACATGACCCACCTTCTTCTGTTCTCCTTCCCCTCTGCATGTACCTCCTGTCCATAAGGCCCCCCTGCCCTCCATCCTGGGCACTGGATACCTCTTGGAACCCAGTCAGCTGAATTCTTTGACTACCTGTTGTGCAAAAGTTTAGGACTGAGAATGTAATCCAGGTCTCTTGTATGGAGGGGCAAAGGTTGCTTACTAGGCCAGCCTCCTGCAGTTCCTAAATAAGATTTAGTGTGGCAGGGGCATTGTTGGTGAGAAACCCCAGACTTTTAGCCACAACAGTCTTGGTGGGAGGAGGGGTCTTTGGTGTTCAGAAACCCGTGGTGGAGGCTTCTGCAAATACTAGCCTTTGGACAGTCCTTAGTCTCTTAAACAAATCAAATATCCCTCTAATGCAGAGGAGGTTGGCAGTGGAATGTATTTAGTAATATCCCCCTTTTAATATACAGCAGTTACCTGAAGACTGTTAAGTTTATTGATGAAGTGTTGGTCATTATCTTGATTGAAGCTTTTGGTTATGCAGACTATTCCCCCTGCCCTCCTCACAAGCCACTTGCTCCTTACCCCACTCTTAGGCCACGTCTACACTACCCGCCGGATCGGCGGGTAGTGATCGATCTATCAGGGATCGATTTTCGCATCTAGTGTAGATCCCTGATCGCTCTGCCCTCGACTCTGGAACTCCACTATGGCGAGAGGCGGAAGCGGAGTCGACGGGGGAGCAGCAGCTGTTGATCCCGCGCCGTGAGGACACCAAGTAAGTGATTCTAAGTCAATCTAAGATACGTCGACTTCAGCTACTCTATTCTCGTAGCTGAAGTTGCCTATCTTATATTGATTTCCACCCCCCCAATGTAGACCAGGCCTTAATATAGTTACTGTGTGCTTGTTAGAGTTGTAAGAAGCAATCTGCCCTGAGACCTTTCTGCTTTTTGTAACCGTGATCTGTTGATAGGATGCATGTGTTGCTGTGTGGCTGGCAGTGCTGCCATGCTACCCAGGCAGAGGCATTGAGCAGGAACGGTCATGCCCTGAAGCCTTTTGAGTGCTGCTTTATCTGTGCTGTACAAACAGGTTGAGGAGTTCTGTAAAGCAGATGCTGAAAAACCTTGATGCTTAATCAATGCTGGTGAGGTCTGTTTACCTGCAGTTGTCAGGGTATAATTGATTACGGCATTTACTGTGAATTCCTTACCTAGGACTTCTGACTCCTATATTAGACTTTAAACTAGAAAGAAAGTGTGTGAGGGTATTCTTCCAAGGCATTTTAAATGTGATTCTGGGGCTTTTGCATTGCCCGATGCTGTCCTTGTCAGAGAGTCTTTGTTGCCTGCTGGCATTTTATGGCCTCTCTGTGAGGGTGATTTTGCTTTTCTGTATTTAAAGCACCAATGACGTTTCACAGCAAACTTTGCAAGCTGTCTACTTTAACTCCCTCCTGCTTCTACGTAACATGATATATTTTCTGCGTTTTGGTTCCCTTTGTTATTGCGAGGATTATTCATTCTTTGAGTTTTTGTTTGTCTACTGCTTGTCTTTCCGACCGGAAGCTATTTGTCTCATAACCACATGTGAGGATTGAGCTGCTGGAACACTGACTTCTAAAGAACTATAAGACCTGTTTCCATGAAGGGGGGGTGGGTGGACGGTGTGAGAAATAGAATTCAGGTTTTTTTTATGTCAGTAGAAGTTTTTTAAACTCAGACTTTTGTTCATATTTTCAATGAGACATAATGGCTTTCTAAAGGAAGAGTTGCTGAATTTGGACTTCTGAGGGGCACATATTGAGACACTTGGCCCTGTGCACAAAACAGGATATGTGTTTACAAATAAAGCTTTTAACTAGTGTTTTCTCTCTGGAGCCCTCTTGCTGAAGGCACCCTGGTTCCTGAATGTGACCCCAGCATTATCGAAGCCCAGTGTCAGACTGTAAATGTATTGTTAATCTGATACAATCCTGAGTACAGGATTGGGAACTAGGAAGTCCTGAGATCTAGTCTCGTTTCTGATGCATACCCTTCTGTGGTTTAGGGCAAGTCACATAGCCACTCACTGTCTCATTTTCATCACCTGCAAAATAGGGCTAGTCAGTCATCTCCCTCCCAGGGGGCATTGTGAGAGCTGATATTTGTAAAGCACTTTGGATATGAAAAGCTTTCTATATCTATTAAGTATTATCCTGCTTTCACCCATGGGTAGAGTTGCAGCAGATTTATTCAAACAGAAATATGCTCCTACCACTGACTAGTTTAATTTCCCCTTTGCTAGTATTGCAGATGTAGCTCTTCTTGATTCTGCAGTGAATCCTAATCTAGCATTTATGATCTCACAGCCTGTTGCCAAGGGAATGAATTGGGTGTCACAGATTCAGCACTCTGACTTCACTGCAGGCTCCAGTAGGAGTGGATGAGCCCACGCTTGAACAGCAAATACCAGAGCTTCATTTAGAAGCTGCCTTTCGATAGTAACCGCACTTCCCCCATTATTCCCTGTATTTTCCCCATGCTAAGTCTAGGAGAAAAGAAGCTCTCATAAAAGATGCCCTTCAGTTTAATCCATTACTCCCAGGAGCCACATGTAGCATGCTTTATATGTTCATTTTTCCATTTGCAAAGAATGCCTGTTGATTATCCTTCACGTACATTTACATGTAGCAACAGTGGAAAACATCAGCTATGTGTATTTGCTGGACCAATGTCAGCAAATAAGAAACAGGAGTTCTGCAACACTCCCATCCTGAGACTTGAAGTAACCAGCCTTTACAATGTGTCCTGAAGATCCAAAACTCAGCTCTTTCAGACCAAAACACAAGTGTATATGGGAAGCAATACCAAAGGGTCAGCCACTGAAAAAGACTAATTCAAGGGACTATCTGCTTGCAGCTTCAGGATTTATGGGTGAGGAAAAACTCTCAAATCAGCAGGTTCCAATCTATGGGGGATGACTTATAGTTGAGAACCAACAACCTGAGTTACGCCTGAATATGAAAAATGAGGCTATTATAGTCTCTGGAGCACAGGTCCAATGTGCTCCTTCTAGGATACGTTGTTGAGCAAATCTGACTGCTGCAGTCTGCGGTAGCTGAAGTTTTTGGTTGACCTTCCTCTGTTGCTCCCATGAAAGCGGTAGCCTTCTGAGCAATCTCTAAACCAGAAGTTCTCAAACTTTTCTTTGTTGATGGACCCCTTTTTTCAAATGCAGTATTAATCATTGACCCCCAACTGAGAAACTGATTGACAAAACTGTGTGTACTTCATATAAATATGTACTGTTAGTAATGCTTTAAGAAAGCGAGTATAAGAGTACTTACAGATATTAGTCAGATGGGTGTTTCTGCTTCTGACTGCAGAGTCTATCTATCCTTGTGTGACGCAGAAGCAACACAGGGTGTGTGTGTGTGTGTGTGTGTTACATGGGGTCACGTGCACCCCCAGATTTCTGGCTTCCATTTGATCCTGCTCCCTGAAGTTCTGATGTAGCAGGGCAGAGAAGTGGTGTGTCTCCTTGGCTGGCTGTGCCTGCTCACGGAGTGAATGGCTGTGAGGCAACCCCTTCTGATAGCATGAAGAGATCTCTCTTCTGCAGTGATGCTGCAATTTTTGGTTGCACCCCTTCCAACCTAGACAGGTTGGGTGGCCAAATGAGGTTAGTCAGGAGCGGAGGTGGTGCTCTTTCCCTGAACTCACCCGGAATGCTGGCCTGAGCCACCTGGTGTCAGCCACCCTCTTGCCCACCTGAATGTTCCTCTGTACCCCCCTCATTTGAAAACCTCTGTCACTCCCTCTCCAAGCCCCATGGCATTGTCTCCCCACCCCCAAACATTTCTCCACACCCCTAGATTGAAAACCTCTGGCACTCCGTCTCCGAGCTCCACCATGCAGGGCCGGCCTGAGCAGCCTGGTGTCACCGCTCACCCACCCGAATGTTCCTATGTGTCCCCCTTGTTTGAAAACCTCTGGCGCACTCTCCCTGAGCCCCATGGCATTGTCTTCCCCTTCCCCAAACATTCCTCCACACCCCTAGTTTGAAAACCTCTCATGCTCCCTCCCCAAGCTCCGCTGCATGTTGCTGCCCCCCTCGAACATTTCTCTGCACCACCAGGGGATGCAAAGGAACATACAGGGGGAGAGTGGTGACGCCAGGCAGCTCAGG